TGAGATGGACTCAAGGGCAGGGGTTTGTGATTCTCCGCTGAGATTTTCCCAGTCAGAATAAAATATTAAAAATTGGTTCGGTTCACCTTTCCTTCCTGATGTTCTCTCTGAATCTCACAGTTAGAAGACAGATGGCTTCGACAAAGCAGGGCTCCTCCAAGTCCGCGGACTCGTCGCCGGGCAGCTCGGGCCAGGCCCTGAGCCTGGCGCCCGCGGGCGCCGAGCTGGGTCGCGGCGAGGTGGTGGACCTGACGCGGCGCGCCCTAAGTCCTCAGGGCGCGGGCGGCCCGCTCGGCTTCCCGGGTGTGCTGCAGGGCCCGCAGGACGGCGTCATCGACCTGACGGTGGGCCACCGCGCCCGGCTGCACAACGTGATCCACCGCGCGCTGCACGCGCAGGTCAAGGCGGAGCGCGAGCAGGGCGCTGCCGAGCGCAGGACCTGCGGCGGCTGCAGGGACGGCCACTGCAGCCCGCCCGCCGCCGGCGACCCAGGCCCCGGCGCCCCCGCGGGCCCCGAGCCCGCCGCCGCCTGCAATGTCATTGTGAACGGCACGCGGGGCGCGACCGCCGAGGGCGCCAAGGGCGCGGAGCAGCCGCCCGAGCAGCCCCCGCCGCCGCCTGCGCCCCCCAAGAAGCTCCTGTCCCAGGAGGAGCCAGCGGTGAGCGAGCTGGAGTCGGTCAAGGAGAACAACTGTGCTTCCAACTGCCACCTGGACGGGGAGGTGGCCAAAAAGCTGATAGGGGAGGAGGCCCTGGCGGGGGGCGACAAGTCAGACCCGAACCTTAATAACCCCGCGGACGAGGACCACGCGTACGCTCTGCGGATGCTGCCCAAGACTGGCTGCGTGATCCAGCCTGTGCCAAAACCCGCCGAGAAGACGGCCCTGGCGCCGTGCATCATCTCCTCGCCCATGCTCAGCGCCGGGCCCGAGGACTTGGAGCCGCCGCTCAAAAGGAGGTGCCTCCGAATTAGAAATCAGAATAAGTAAAAGGTTTGTATGTCCACCGGGGCCCTCGTCTCCTCGAGTCTCCCAAGGGCGTTATATCGGTCATCATGACACCAGCTATGTTTCGCAGTAGGTCGTGGTGTGTCCCCTCTTTGGTCCGACGTCTGTGACGCTGAACGATTGTTAGGTAGCATCTGTCCCATGTTACAGTGGAGGAAGCAGTCACGGCCTGTGTGCGCCTCACCCAGGGTCACTCACTCACTGGTAAGCCCATTCTTGAGCCTGGCTTAAAACACCAGTTCCTCGATGACATCTCTTCTTGTTGTTGCCCCTGCTCCGGTCTTCTGTGTCTAATTCACCCTGGCTAGGAAGATGGCAGATGTGGGGACGAAGGTGCCATCCCCCGGGGCAAGGCGAGCTCAGCCTCGAGGTTGCAGGGCTGTGCGCAAAGTTTCCACTACGCCATCAACTGGGCCACTTTCCAGAACGGCCACCTGGCCCACCAAATGTCCTAACTCACTCAATCTTCTCTATGATCCAGAGAGCCCATTTGGAAGATGAGAAGAAAAACTAACCTTGTATGCTTAGGCCAACAGAACCCAGACCACTAAGGCCCGCTTGCTTAGCCAGATGTTGGAGCAATGGTTCTGCAGCCCCCTCCCACCTCTCTCCCCGCCCCCACCGCACTTGAGCTCTCTGCCCTCAGCCCTCAGCCACCAACTCCCATTCCCCAGGGCAGGCCCATGTCTCACTGACCAGCATTCCTTTGCCCCCTTCTTGGCCTGAACAGCTTAGTGGACTGCTGATAACCTTGCAGACAGGGAGGGGGCTTTGACAGGGGAAAGGGCTGCCTGGCTGAACTGGGTAACCTCATGGTGGGGTTCCTTCTGATTCCATAATTCCGGTGAAGGGCAGGGAAACCAGCGTGTTTGGCATGAGGTGTGACCTCATTTGGGCCTCCTGCGAATCCTATCGGATCAGGCAGCATCTGCCTCTAACAAACAGGAAGATGAGACTTAGAAATATTGACCAAACCAGAACTGGTAAGTGGGGGAACCTCTGTTTCACTCAGGCCAGTCAGATACAGAGTTCAAGCTGTCTCATCTATCCCGATGAGCAGCCAACATCTCTTGGGCAGTTGAGTTCATCTGCGGTTTACAGAAAGGAAAATACTCCAGACAACCATGTCTCCATCCTAGGAGGAAGAAGGTCTGGGATATATAGGAAGTGAACCTTTGTTAATACTTGTATATGCAAGCCCTCTTCCACATGGTTTTTAGTAGCATCTGTTTTGATCACTGCAAACAGTAGTGTCTTTGTGGTACAGATAGGAAACTGAGGTACAGAGAGACAAAGGCACATGCCCCAGATCACCAAGTTAGTACGTAGGGAGGTCATGATTCCAACCCAGGCTGTCTGACCCCAGAAGTACATGTCGTTTATCAACCATTATAGATGACTAGACTAAGGCATTCATCTCTTTCTTGTCCTACTTGAAGAAGTTCTTTCATCGTCCTCAGTTGTCTGGAAGGAAAGTCCCTAGGGACAATTAAGTGAGCCGGCAAACTTCCCTAAGTTTGCAGACAATGTTCAATTCTTGGTTTTCCAGTAGCAGCGTCAACAAGCCTAGGATCCCAATCCATTGCTCCACAGGGGGATGTGTAATTGTGGACTGAAATGGCTGATCTCATGTGTCCAGCCCATTGACTCTTATGTCAGCATCTTTGCACGGGCAGCTAACCTAGAGGCTTTTCTTGGGAAGCACAGAACCAGAGCTTGAGGTTGTTGGGTGGTATAAAAGGTTACTTGGCCACCGTAGTTTGAGGTTTCCCTTTTCCACTGAGCCTGGGTGTGTCCTGGGTTACACATTGGGCCACCAGCCACAAGGTCAGCAGTTCGAATCCCCCCAGTTGCTCTGTGGGAGGAAGATGGGGTTTTCTGCTCTAGTACAGGTTTAGTTTCAGAAGCCCCGAGGGCAGTTGTGCTCTGTCCACCAGGGTTGCTTGGAGCTGAGATGGACTCAAGGGCAGGGGTTTGTGATTTTCCGCTGAGATTTTCCCAGTCAGAATAAAATATTAAAAATTGGTTCGGTTCACCTTTCCTTCTTGATGTTCTCTCTGAGTCCCACTGTTTGAAGA